GGTAGTGAGTCGATGTAAGACATGCGTAACCTGCTTTTTCTTGTTTCTTGGCCAGCAGTAGAATAAGGTGTGGTTTGCTATCAAGGAAATAAAGCAAACCCACGATTTCAGTGACAGAGGTTTCCAGACTGTTCAGATGTTAGGCCAATATTTTTTCACACGTCTGAATCCAGGCTGTGTGCCAAACAAATCACGATACAATAATCTTCATAAAAAAGGAACAGGTTCATGATTTGCCCGTGGGTGCGATACTGCCAGGTTGCCCAAGCCAAAGTGGGTGAAGTTTCTCAGCGAGTTGAAAACAGGAGCCTACGGTTAGAGAAGCCTGACCAGCAAGACAGCGGGGTGGTATGTGGAAACCGCAATCCATTGGGGGTCGGTGGCCAGTTAATCGGACCATAAGCACATTAGACGGGGTCAAACGTCCAGGGTGCCCAATACACCTTAATGTCCAGCTGAGTCCGTGACCATTGCCACAACCGTTAAGGTGTGTGGTTTGTATGTATCTTCTTAGTTGGTTTGGAATAGGACTTTTCAGCCAACTCTCCTAGGTGAACTGCCGATGGTTCCCCGACCCGGTTATAATCCCGGACATTGGTTTTCGTCCTCTCACTTTGATGGAGAAACCTCCGCTACGAAGAGTTAGTGAATAGAGCTTCCTAAGCAGAATCTAATTGAGAAGCTTGGTCTTATGGGAACACTTCGCGAGGTGCACGGGAGGGGTGACCAGGCGCAACCCGAGACACCTACACCCGACTATACTGAAGCTATTGCAGTCACCGAAACCGTTATATATAGAGACGACAAACTGTATGCGTTACACTTCTCCAATGTTAAACTGGGCTGAAGTTTTAACTGATGCTATGTATAATTTGTTGTCTTCGATCAGTTAACGGACACTTCGGGCGCGTGGGTTCACAGACGCAACGGAACTAACTGGGTTTCTAAACTAACCACTAGGTCTACTAATATATATCTTTGTTCGACAAACGGATCGATTAGCTTACGGCTTGAATTTGAACCTTACAGAAAATACCTTGGTAGAACCAAGTATTTGCCTACATATAACCAGGGGNCCAGGGGTAAGCATTTAGAAGCAGTCAAGGAACGGAAGTAACCAAACTCTTAATGGACTAAAAGGCAGTAAAAACAGTTAATTCACAGGTTTTCTCTAAGAAAAAAATGCACGTAGGACTGGTAATAGAATACTAGAAGATTGGAAACACCTCGATGATAGTCCTGTTGAGAATAAGCATGCAAAACCAAAAGCAATCAACCGGTGCTCCAATTTTTTTCAAAACTAGCAAATTGGCAATCGTTTGGTGCTTCTAGTTAAGTTACCCAAGTTAACTTGATTGGGAAACGGATAAAGGGTGGAAATGATGCGGAATGATTGTAACTCTGGATGCAGTTGTTGGTATCGGTGAGTTCTCCGAGCCGGAAGTGTTGTTCGCAGACGTTTCGTAGCCAAGCTAGGTAACATCATCAGTATGACTGGCTGTTTCATTGTCATGGTGACCATTATTTTTTCTCATCGGTCGGCTGTCTTTCCTAGACCAACCGCAAACCGGCTTTGAACCGGTTCCAAACTAGTTAGAACTGGTTTTGGACCGGTTCTACAACAACACTTCCAGCTCGGAGAACTCACCAAAACCAACCGGTAAATGGTCTAGGGAAAGGAGAGTTGCATGGGCAGGGGAAAGAATATACGCAAAACTCATATGTATATGCGCCTTTGGGCACAAACTGAGTAACTTTATTGGCCCCGTTCCTGCAGCACAACCTCACCGGTAGTTTTGTAATGCCCTTCGACCACGCCTAAAGCTGGATGGATATTTTTTATGGGTACTGTGCGTCTAGGAATTCTCGTTGGGTGCATGTGCAATAGTCATCAAGCAATCGAGGTTCTAACAATTGCACTCATCGTTCAATATTGAACCCAGTACCAATCGACCAGGCATCACGCTCGGACAAAATTGCGGAAAGGCTGATGCGCAAATACCAACAGCATTTTATGCCATCAACTGTCAAGTACCAAGGCAAGACTGCGATCAATGAGATCCATGAATATCACACCTCCTGACCTAAATGAATGGTTACGGTTCTCATTATACAACTGACTATAAAAATATAACACATGACGTGAAGAAACGAACTGAAGGATTGGATATTGTTTTGCATAATTCAAGGGAATTCATAAACACTAAGGTATTCGGCTCGAGTCTTGGAAGAATAAAAATTATGCACTGCTGGCAAGTCCCAACAAGGACAAAACAGCTGCCCAGTGCTCATTTCTTTCGTAAATAGTTTTTATTATTATCTATCCATTATTTACGGATTGGTCATACATTCCACCCTATATAGTAGATTTCGGTTTCGAATCCAATGATGAATAGATTATCATTCATCTCCAGGGGTCAAGGACCCCATCACAACTTGGAGATTGAGAGTTCGAATCGAACCTCCACAACCGGTTTACTTTTCTCAGGCTGAAACCTACCCCCTTTCCTGACAGTAAAAAGTGTGTTATCAAACTGTCCTTATTTGTGTTTGCATTCAAACTATAACCGCTCATAAATGTGAACAACGTACTCCCATCCGATGATCGTGTGGACTGTGTTCCACGAGAATCTAATCAAACGTGCAGTACTCTTTGTTCGAGGAGATGCCTATAATCAGTCGGCGTCGGCGGAACAAACACATGAGTGAAACAGTTTTGCACGAACAGCAGAGACAGAGAGAAAGCAAAGGAGAATTCATACACAAACTGATAAATTCCAGTCATTAACTTAATTAGGCGATGCATGTGCCCGGACAGAGATGATCGTATCTCTTGTATCGCTGACGAACACGCGTATTTATGCACATGTATGATCGATCAGCTCTCTGGCTACGAGAACGACCCGACAACACTATGTCCTCCAAATAAGGATCTACATGTTTCATAACATCAAGTACCAAAGATAAAGCACAAATTTCCAGTTTCCCTAACTAGGCTATCGTCTGCATGGGACTCATTCCCTCTACTGTCTATCACATATTGATGTAATAAGTGAAAGCGTGTTAACTGATAGAAAAACCCGAGTGAATATAATTATGAATGCATGATGACTGAAACAAATGAGAGTGCATCGCTGCAAACCAATGCGGTGTTTTCATGACACTAAATGTTTATGTAAGAGAAAAAGCTTCGGATTTCCGACTTTTGATCTCAGTTTGTGTGACGAATAAAGTTTGGGTTTGGTATAAACTGTACCGTGTGTGTGATTGCCAATTTAACGTTCTAGGTGCGGATACTTTCATGTGTTACTAACCCACTCCTTTCTCTTTTCAACCTGTTACTTCACTCCTTTTTCTATTTTTTTTCTTTTCACTTCTTTTTATTGTATACACAATGATACAAATTTCAGAAAGGGGGAAAGCGGCCAATCAAAGGGCTACCATACAACAGACACAATGCGGAATGTCAAGCGGTGGTGGTGGGATTCAAACAACTCTTCCGGGGTGATAATTTGGTGATGATACTAACGGGCCACCACCGCTTCGATAAATGAAATTCGGGTGATTATAATGATGAATTCGTTTGGGGATAGACCACAATTACTAGGATACGTGAAATGTCACATCTTGATCGTGATTTCTACCCCCGCCCCAGGAAATTTGAATAGGTGAACCGAAGGACATCATGGGAACAGCCTTACGTAATAGAAAGCAAGTAGAGGATTTGACTTAAAGTTCGGATCAACGGATTTCGTAGATGCCTATCTAGAGATGACTGATAACAGTGGACGACGACAACAGCAGCATTAGTTTCAATAGGAAATACAAGGTACAGTACCATTTCGTGGCAACGTAGTGGTTCAACCCAGTGTGTTCCACTTATAAGAGTTAATTGTTCAACTGCATCTGGTGACCTTCGATAAGCAAATAAATTAGTGCCTACTTCTGGTGATCGCACTCTGAATCCATCGATTTAAGATGAAATGAGAGAGCAATTTTGGTAGAGCCAATTTTTCAAACATCTCCTCTCAGTCGATAGGGATAAAAAGAATAGGGTGAGGGTGTATGTAAGGGACGCAGAGGTATTCTAAAAATTGACCGGTTCACTGTTATATATTCTATTTTAAAAATGAAACACAAAAGTGGTGGCCGAAAACTAAGGATGAATTGAACATCCAGCAAAGGATAAAATGTGGTGGTGGTGGTAGCAGCGACGATGACGACGACCACGTCTATCGATGACATACTGGATGGGAATGTGCTATGATTACTGATACGTAACAAGTCTGCCGCTAGTTCGATTCAAATCAAACTCGACTGGGTTGACCAATAGAAGAAGACCCGTATCGAGATGCACGAGTAAACGTTCGAGTCGAACTCCAAGTCTCGTGTGTGAACGTGGTGAGCACAATTCGTTCGAACCACGCCGGAATCATATTTAACACCAGAAATAAGGATAGATGCATATCCGTGTGAGCGCACAAAGAAACCGATTTCTCGCCAGCAAACGTGGCATTGTTCAAAAAACCGTGGGTGGAATCAAGATGAAGAACAACAACGACAGGCTGTGTAGCGAGAGGAATAAAAAAGGTTGTAGAAAGATTAAGAACGACAAAGTTTCTTTTGGGAACTGATTTATTATTCCTCTAGAATTGAAAAATATAACAAAGAAAACATGAAAAAAGAGTGTGGCCAAAAATTCAATCGATTGTCAATCAGAAAAAAATCATAAGGATGGGGAAAAATAGCTAATCGAAAGTAGAGTAAATGAATGAATGAATGACAATTCAGATTCAAAAGGAAGTGAGCATGAGGCTTTTTTACCGCGCAAATCGAGAACAGTGCAGAGTTACGCCAACATGTGCTTCCAGATATTGCACACAACACCAGCCTCGATGCTCATGACTAGGCACATGCACCCCCACACACAAACGTGGAATAAACAAAACAGCCATAAAGAGAGCAGAATTATTTCATGGAACAAGGGATGGAAGAGGCGCTCATGGGAAAGGCATTGGGCCTGGGTCTGGCAGTGGATCCCCAGTTCCATTGACCAGTTGATGCGTCGAAATGGCCACTTTTGTAGCAAGCCAATCGGCCAACGGTTGTGTTATGGACTCGGCATAAACACGAACCGTGTTCTCTGTCCCCGAGGGTCGAACAAAAGCACGGGAAGAGCTTGGTCTTTTGGTGGCGTTCTGCACGGTTTTCACAATTTCGTCTATTGCATGCTGTGTACGGAACGG